TAGACAGTTTAAAATTTTTACTAGTCTTCCTAGTAATATCTGCTATACTATTGCCTTTACACAAAGGTATTCCTTTGTACTATAGAATATTACAATTGAAACAGAGTATATACTAACTATAAAATAATTTCACAAACTTTTAAAGGGCACAGTAAATCAACTAACTATATATTTCATATAGTAACATTCAGATGAGAATTAGTTACCTAAATTAAAAACCTAGCCAGCTTTCTAGTACTATTTAAAGAAGTTCTGCCAATATAATTTAATCTTTTGAACAATCATTCTGGGCATGAATATTATTATTTTCATCCTAAAAATTAAAAAAATAAATAATCAAATAATATTTGATATAAGAACAAAGTCTGTGGGACTATAATAATAATTTGTCTCAAATATTTCTTGAAGTGTGATTTATGAATTACTTGCATCAGAATCACTTTGTTAAAGATTTCTGACCCAGGGGCACCTTGGTGGCTCAGTGGGTTAAAGCCTCTGCCTTCAGCTCAGGTCATGATCCCAGTGTCCCGGGATCGAGCCCCGCATCAGGCTCTCTGCTCAGCAGGGAGCCCTCTCTCTGCCTGTTTCTGTGTGATCTCCATCTGTCAAATAAATAAATAAAATCTTTAAAAAAAAAAAAAAAAGAAAAGAAAAGAAAGATTTCTGAGCCAGACTTCAAACCGTTTAATGAAAATCTCTGGTATATGGGACTCGAGAATTTCAGTTTTAGCAACTTTTTTAAGTTTGATAATCATACTTCTGTAGAACATAAATGAAATATCATAAAATATATTTAAGACTTTTATACATATAACTATAATGTAAGTAGAAGAAGAAAACTAGGAAAAGAATGCAGCAGTAAATAATCATTCTTTTTAAGGTCAGTAGCCTTAGAGAGAAGGGAAGAAGTCAAAATTAGTGTGAAATCTATAAAGCTTTACCAGGCAGCTACTGACTTCAAGAAACTGCAAGGAGCCATCAAAAAAGAATGGAATCTTGCCATTTGGAACAACATTGAGGGTATAAAGCTAAGTGAAATAAGTCAATCAGAGAAAGGCAGATACCATATGATCTCACTCATGTGTGTAATTTAAGAAACAAAACAGATGAGCAAAGGAGAAAAGAGAGAGATACACACAAACCAAGAAACAGACTCTTAACTATAGAGAACGAACTGATGACTACCAGAGAGGAGGTGCATGGGAAGATGGGAGAAATAGAGGATGGGCATTTAACAGTAGATTTATCATGATGAGGAAGAAAAAAAAAGATAACAACAACAACAAAACCCTGCCCAGAACAATATATTTATATGATGATGTCAAAAAAGGATGAAAGATAGCTTAAATAAGTAAGTCTCTCTCTACCTTTCTCTCTCTCTCTGTATCCACGTTCCAACAATACTTAGTTAAATTCACCAAAGTGTTTAAAAAGTTAAATAATTCAGACTGTTATAGAGATAAACATATAAGAAAACAGGGAATTTTGTTGTCTTAAGGTTAAGGATAGTGAAAAATAGCCTATAGAATAAGTGTAAAAGGAATGACATAGAGGTGTTCTGGTAAGAAAGAAAAAATGGGGGGGCTGCTGGGTAACTCAGTCAGCTAAGCATCCAACTTTTGGTTTCTACTCAGGCCATGATATCATGGCTCATGAGATAGAGCCTCGAGCTGGGCTCTGCACCCAGCGAGAGTCTGCTTGGATATTCTCTCCCTCTGCCCCAACGGCTGTCTGAGGATGCCCGGCAGGGAGCACTGGATTGCAACAGCACAGATTAAAAATGACCAGGGCATGGACTATGGATTTTGCTGGAGGAATAATGAAAAAGAGACAGATGCCAGAGATACTATAGTCAGCATGATAATGCAAATGATTCAGTGAGGAACTGGACAGGAAATTTTGATGATCTTCAGACATTCTTATTGCTAAATGCTCTGCCATTAATGGGTTTGATCACTGTAGTTGACTCAGGGTATGAAGATTTATGAATTTCTATAAAGATGATAAAAATACCTGGTCTTAAATCAACCACTGGAAGAAGAACTCACGGAGCAGCAAATGCCTTAAATAGTCATTTTGTAAGGTAGGCAACAAGAATAATGATTTCTATTTGATTTAATATCTCAAAATAGATTATTTTTAAAAACTGTAACAAATGTGGAACAGTGGAATATATTTTATCTTTGGCCATAAAATAATTGTTTTATAAGGAGTATAGGGAAAATTGCAAGGTGATCATCAGCTGATTAAGATGTATAACTATTAAAAATAATTATTTTTCCCACACAGTCTTTGAGAGTTATTTCCAGTATGTAATAAGTAAAATATTCCCTGAAGATTAGGAATTTAAATGTGGTTCCACAGTTTAAAAGAGAAGGGCTTTATTACTATGAGCAAGTGATTTCTTTTATCCATCATAAATACTAGGTTCCAAGCAATGGATAAAATAGAAAATCAGTACTGTTAACAAATACCACCTGTCCTACCTAAATAATTCCAGAGTTTGGAATTAAGAATCACATTATCCTTATCTTCTTTGTTTAAAAATCTCTCTTTATTCTTCTGGAGTTCTAAAGCCATATTTTTCATAACTTCCTAAAGTACTTAAGATACATGATGTTCATGTCAAAACACAATCTGGTCAATTAGCATTTAATCCTCCCATCTCTGAGCAATTTAATTTTTGGACTTCTCAGCATCTCAGTGTAATGATGAGCCCTGAGGTTCTTACCTCTAGTAATAACATCACAAAATGTATCTCAGGTCATTCCTTTTAACATGAGCCCTGATTTAGGTGTTTTTTTTTGTTTTTTGCTTTTTTTTGTTTGTTTGGTTGCTTTGGTTTACCTCCCTCAAGGGAGGTAATGTAAAGAGCCACTTTTTTTTTTTTTAATATTTTTTATTTGTTTATTTTGAGAGAGAGAGAGACAGAGTGAGAGAGAGCATGAGAGGGGAGGTCAGAGGAGAAGCAGACTCCCCATGGAGCTGGGAGCCCGATGTGGGACTCGATCCCAGGAAAGAGCCACTTTTTATACTTTAATCAGTAATGCAATATGCCTACACAAAAATAACCTTGTATACATAAGCACTATAATAAAATTATTTAAAAGTCAGTATTGTTTTTCCCCCATTGGAATATATAAAATATCCTTAGGAAGTTTTGATAAATGTAAAGCTACATAAAACAAAAAGAATTTTGCAATGATCAGAATTCACTCCAATGACATATGTATACAATTATCCTAAATATTTTATTTGGAATTATCGGTGAATTGTGTCAAGAATTAGAAACTGTAAAGAATTGGAACAATTTTCTAGATCATTCATCTGCAAAACCGCCACTGAAGAAAAAAAATTATTTTTTTAAAAATCAATGATTTTATCCATTGTCCCATTTATTATAATTATGTGAAAATGTGCTCATTCCATTACTTTATTTCAGGAATGTAGACAGAGTTATTGACCTGGCCTTAAAATTTATTTATCTACTTTAGTGATTTATTGCATTATGGTATATAGTAAATGTGAATAGGAAGTATGTATGTAAGTTTTTTATAACGAATCTAAACAAAAAGGTAAGATGATACATAAATGTTGAACTAATAATATATTAATTTTCATTTAAACCATAATTCATACTCATATTTTTATAATATCATTATTAATCAAATAGCTCTATTCTTGAATTATAACATTATTGTAAATTATGCTGACATTAATATATGCTTTAATGAAACAAATTTTTGTTTCACGATTTAAGTTCTTCAGTCATGATGATTTTATGAGATTTTGCCCATGTTTTAGGACAGCCAATACCGTTCTCACGGATATCCCAAATAATTCACATGCCATCACTGAAGCCTAGTTCCAACAACAGCTTCAGCTATCTGAATTGGCTATGACAGAATTGGCAGAAACCTTGAAATCGCAGTTATTTAGTTTGGCCACCATGCCCAGAGAGATCTACTTGGAATGGTCTGGAAGCTGTTCTTTCATTGTGTGCAACTATTCTTAATATGGTGGCATTTGACAGTCATTTGAAATAAGAACTGAAGCCAATTAAATGGTCTCTCTGTGGATTTCCTCTGACAGATGCACAGAGGCATCTTGTTTTAGCCAATGGGCATTATTTAAACATAGCTAAAACCATCCCAGCATTTATTTTGATGCATCCAGCTAATTATATGGCTGTGATTTATGTTTAAGTAAAGGATTTTAATCAGATCTCTTATTTCCATCCTCTACTAGACTTCTCATCATAGTGTCATGGTACCTATATGGGGAAGACAACCTCTCCCACTAAAAACTTGGGCACATTGTCTTGATTCTATAGGAATAGAAGTCTGATTTCAAATGGGAATGGACTGCATTTCCTTATCTGTGTTTAGAAGAGTAAAAATTCTGCAGCTTGAACTGAGACAGATGACCATTTGCTGTTTGATGGTTAATTACACTTTGGACATAGAACAAGAAGGGGAAAAAAAAATCCCGGAAACTTAATAAAGATGTATTTGCTTAACAGGCAAAGTCAGTTTTTATCATGGCTACTTATAATTTTCAGTACTTCTTAAATTAATTCCCAGTTCTTAATTAAGTTTTCAGGTTTGCTATAAAATCAGCTAAATTTAATATTTAACATAGGATAAGGAAAATTACTATTAATCTAAATTTCAAAAAAGTTTTTCAACAAGTGAAGTCCAGTTGAAGTTACCCTCAGCATACCGGCAATATGCAGGACATTAGCAAAACTAATATTTACGAATCTACCTAATATTTATGAGTCTGTGGCTGGCTTCTCCATTTCATCTGGTTGAAGTTACTATTTAGCAGATTTGTGAGTTTTGTTATGAACTAATAATAATAATTCTTCTTCTTCTTCTTCTTCTTCTTCTTCTTCTTCTTCTTCTTCTTCTTCTTCTTCTCCTCCTCCTCCTCCTCCTCCTGCTCCTCCTCCTCCTCCTCCTCCTCCTCCTCCTCCTTCTTTTTTTTAAATTTTCTAGATGCTCCACCAACTGGTCAGGCACACAGTGTGAGAGACCAGCCCCAAAGAGCAGCAAGTCTGATCATATTAACACAAGTAAGTTCTTCAGGTTAACACCTTAGGTGGTCTGTATGGTACAGAAATCATTTTTCATGCCATTACTGGGGGACTTGAGTCTTGGAAAATCTCCTTCATGGAATTTTTCAGGAAATGCATTGCAATCCAGGTCGTTTTGGAAAGGATGGGCCACTGAGTTCACCTGGTGACAAGATCCAGCATTCACGTGCTAATTTAGGCAGCAAGAGTTCAAACTCTGGCAGTTTTCAGAATGCACATCTGCAAATCTAGCATAATCTTTTCTGGGGAAATGTACATCAGCTACAAAGGCTTAATATACCACAATGGATATGAGAATGCTCCAGGAAAAAAAATAATTTCATAATTAGAGAAAAGTGTATTTTCTTGAATTGAATTTCAGTATGTTGTAAAGCAGACTTTACTGGTTAGTCTTAAAGAAAATTATATTAACAAGCAAATCTTAATCAGGATCATGGTTGATTTATTGTTTCTTTGTCTTCAAAATATTTGTTTTGAAGTGTATTAAAATATAGTTCAACATTTTGCAAATCTTTCTTTGTGCAGCTGTAGTCTTAGGACAGATCATTGATATGAAAGTCCATCTACATCATCGTTGTGTGTCTATGTGTATATTTTTAACAATTCTAAACGATTTTATAAAGATTTTCAAAATGTAGGGTGCCTGGGTGGCTCAGTCAAAGATTTTCAAAATGAAAGTCAAAAATAGTTTCCCAATTCTTACATATTATCAATTATTTTATTATGAGTGGAGAACTTTTGAAATATGTAATATCTATCAAGTGGCTAAAAATATTCTTAAAGAAGAACAATATCACTGATGGATAAATGTTTACCTTAGGAATTTTTCTCTAGTCCATTACTGCTAGTGAAATAAGCTTTCATGAAAATAATAAAAAACATACTACAGAGTTTGTGAAAAAGGAAAGGCACTATTGAAGTTAAAAGTATGCAATTTTTGTACCTTACATGCAGGATCCCAGTATTTGCTGATCTACTTCTTTGTTGTTCCTTGCCCCGTCACTGCTTAAAATCTTTCAAGCAACACTGCCCAAAGTCCCACCATTTAGAGATTAATTTGGGCTAATAAGCATGAGCATTTTAGAAAAATGGCCAATAGGTCTCGAGTAAATAGCCTAGACATGAAATTTGAATTTGCAGAAATGAATAATCTTTGATCATAGAGTGTTTGGGGTTTACCCTGGAATTTATATGTTGTCTTTAGGGAAGGAGAGGGGAAAAGAAGGCCTTCGGAAAGCTATGGGAACATTATTGTAGGAATAGGGCACTGGGATTTGAGGAATTGGTTCATAAAAACTAGTAGAGGAGGCAAAATATACCTTGGTTAATTTGATATTGCAAAAAGAAAGAAAAAGAAAAAAGTTCCTTTTCTCTTTTCCCAGGATCTAGGGCTCATATCTAGGTTATCAGTTATTGTTCTGGAGACACACTAATTTGCATATGATTTTGTGAACCAGCTACAAAGCTTGACAATTACCAATAGTATTGTTTTTAAATGAAAAATGCATTTCAAGTTACCAACCTGTAGAACACCCTGAATTTATAAGTTGAGAATTATGGAGACAATTTACATTAGCCTTTTATTTTGGTGATTTCTCAGTTATCTAAGATAAATAAGAAATACAGCCTTTGAAAGAGTCAAAAACAATTATAAGTATTGATAAACTCTGTAAAAAAAGTATATAAAGTACCACATCAATTGAATTTTCACATTTTACATTAAGTTCCTCCCACAAGGGAGAGTTTGGTGTTTGGAAATGGTTTGCAGGAGAGGAACAAGAGATGTTTTTATTGGAGGGTGGTGTCTTCAATTATTTGCAGGGGCAAAACTCCCTTATAAGGCAAATGGCTCTAATTCCATACAGCAGTTATAAAATAGGGACTATCAAACAGAAAGAGTGGCAAGTATTTGCAACCCTTTTTCCAAAGATTCTGATGTCCTTCCTTCCATCACTGATTTAAAGTTATTAAATTTAATGGAAGTATCAATGCACATTGAAAGGGCTATTAGCTATGTAAATGTCAAATTTCTTAAATTTGAGCAAAGTTGACCACATAATGACACTATTAAAAGGCACTTATCATCAGACATTTATGCTTAGAGAAACTTGCCTCAATAACTCTGGAAGAAGGAAAAAAGGTAGTTAAACTGATCCTACCTAAGGAAGAGCCCAGTAGTTTTGAATGGTTGTCAAATGTTCCCCCAAATTGGAGAAAAGTCATCTGCCCAGTAAGAAAGATCTTAAGCAGTGTGTTTCATATCTGCATTTCCACTAACAGTGAAGCATTCCATAATGATTGGACCTTGGGGTAATAAAGAATACACTGTTTCTGTTGGCCTGACTACTGTCAGCTAGCATGGAGATTTACCTTTCTAATTGTTGCACAGCTTTCTTAATCATCTCCGAGTAGGCATGCTGATGTTTTCTGGCTGTTGCTGTTTAAAGTATCAAAAAACTCAGCCAGTGGAATTAAACAGATTTATTATCCTAGCATGTTCTGCTGAGGTTCCACTTAAAAAAAAAAAGCTAGTCTGACTCTTCTGAAGTTATTTTAAAGATTTTTAAATTAAATATGATAAAATATTCCTTGGGTACTTCTATTTAAATTTTACCTAAAGTTTTAAGGGAGTGAATGCTCAATGTTTGAATTATGCTGTTCATATTTGCTAAAGTTAAAGAGGGTAAGAATATACTCAGCATTTGAGAGGCACTAATATTGAGATGCTTTATTTTAGTACAGTGACAACAGAGATGTGATATCTGTTAGGGAGTCGTGTTTCCTCCTTTCCCATTTTGCCCTTATCTCTTTTATACCATCTTGTCTTAAAATAGAAAAAAAAAAAAAAACTATGTGACATGAAGGAACCAAAAATTTGCAAATACAGAGTAATAACTGAAACATGTAACAAAATAAAGCCTTTGGCCTAATTCTCCCAAAGCAAATATTTATCAAGCCTCAACTAAGTGTGCTACTGAATGAGATCCCAGAGACAAGTCAGTGAGACAGACAGTGCCTCGTCTTTGAAGCTGAGGTTCTAGAAAGGTATATCGCAATAAAGCAAGGAAGCAAACAAATGAGTAAACATGCAAACCTATGAAATAAGAGTAAGTTTTTATTGGTTTTGTGAAGGAGGCAAAAAAAGGAAGCAAAAATGTAAAATGGCAAGTGAGAACTAAGGTCAGGAATGATTTCTCTGAGGTGATGACACAGAAGCTGAGATTTGAAGGATTAGAAAGAGAAGACACTGAGCGTATTTCAAACACAAGGGACAGCAGGCACAAAAGCCCTGGAACAGGAAATAGAACTTCTCAAAGTTTTGAAAGACCAGTGTGCTGGTATCAAGGGGACAGGAGGGAGAGTGGTACAAAGTGAGGATATTTTCTTTATGACCTTTAAAATTACAGTTCATCGCAATGCTTAAGAGAAAACACCCTAATCACAAAAACATATCTACATTCACATATATGCCTAAATGTGAACATGAATTTAAGAGCAGAATATATAGCAATATAGCAAAAGAGGTTAATTGTAATTAACAATTAAACATTAAATATAAACAATAACATAAAATAATAACATTAAATATGCCATTGTAATGGCAAGTTTAATATTTATATTTTCCACTATAAATTCAACCAGTAAACAAAAGGTTCTCTTCCTGAATTCCATGACACTGAGTTATTCTGGTTCCCTTCTTACCTCTCAAAGCAACTCTCTTCTTTGTGAGATAAGTTCTCCCTGTCTCTTCTGGACAACTCATTCTCTCCACTTACACTATACACACTGTTCTCAGTGGACCACAATTCTTAACCTTACTTACTGACTATATGTTGATTACCCCTACATTTCTATTCTCAGGCCTGGTTTGTCTCCTAGTTTGAGCCATAGATCCCACTGCACAATTGCTATATCCATATCTATATCCATGGCAATGTCTATATCTGTATTCCATGGGACACTCAAATTCAACATGTCCCAAAATGATCTCACCACCTTCCCCTACTCAAACACAGTGCTATGGCAATATATATGTTTAATTATTTAATAAACATGTATGTTGCATTTTCTACATGATAGACAATCTTATTTACATTACTATGAGATCATATTAATGATGACTCTCATTTTATGGATGTGTGAATTGAGACAAAGGTAACTAATTTGCCCAAGGATATGTTGCTAGTAAGCTGAGGTTTGGACAAAGATAACCTGGCTCCACAGTCAATTATCTCAACTGCCAAACTATACTGCCTCTCCCAGGGAAAGGGTCTCTTCAATCTAACAATCTGGTAACACAGTCCTTTCTAACAGGAAAGTGTTGTGTAATGAGGCTTCAGAACAATGTTGCAAGGAAAGACTTATATTTTACGTGACAAGGTGATTGAGATATCCTCTCCATCTGTAATAAGTATAGAATGTGCTTTTTTAAAAATCAGTTTAAATAATCTGCCAATAACTAAGGAAAAATAAAGCACCTGCAGTAAATTTTGATTGATATGTTACAATATATTTACTACTATATATTCTACTTATTTTGATAAAAGTCTTCTAATTCTTTTAAAAATATATGTTGTTACCAGTTGCTCCACTTGATAAAATTTTTTTTAAAAATCCAGTTTTAAAACCTTGCCCAGTTGCCACCCTGCATTATTTATTGGCCACAGTAAGCATTATTGCGGTTACCTTAATAGATTATATAAACATCTTAGAAGTCTAGGCTCTTAAACAAAGTGCTGCAATGTAAGGATTTGGAACTGCCATCACAGATGGCAGAAAGAAAAAGAAAGAGATTGGTAAGTTTTTTTTAGCATGTATACATAACAGAATTTCTACCTTATATAGGAATAAAAGAAACTATATAGAACAAATAAAATCTTATTTAAAATAATATACAATTGGCAGTAAAGGGAAAGTAACCTTATATGCCCAAAGACCAGAATTAGCATTTTGTATCTACCAATTTACCACAATTTTAGGGGGGGTGGAGATAAATAATGAAGTAAGGATATTTACAAAGTCATGAGCAGTCAATTGAAGTTATAGTTTATGAAAAGACCAAGCTGTTCACTGGTATTTAAAAATTTGTGAATAAATGTTAATTACTATCCAAGGTGCCAGATCTCTGCCTTTATTAATTACTAATAAATTACACATTCATATAAAGTTCACTTTCCCCAAACCAAGAAGGTAATATAATATAAAACTCACTAAGATGTATGGTCCTGGTAAGAACATGAAATAATAAAATGAGTTTTACATTTTAGAAACTGATTAAATTAGGCAAGTCATTTTTTTTCTTGCATGGAAGTGGTAGTTATTTGGTTATTTTAAACAAATTATTTTTAAAGTTCAAAATTAGAAGATTATTTTACACATGAGATTTCCTTAATAAAGACCTTTTGGTATTTTGGTAAGCAATCTCCAGGATAGACCATGTCACACAGATATCACCTGTCTAGAGCTATCAAAACTGATCTATATTACTATTTTGTAGTCCCTACACAGCTGCTTATTGTGCTAAATATTACCATTCATTTCTACCACAGTATTTTTATATGCATGTGTATTTGTAGAGAAAAATTTATATATTTAATAACTCCTGAAATTTCATTCTTGAGCCATTCAAGATCCTCACAAAAAATTTCAATTAGTTTTGAGGTTTATTTGTATTAGTTTTTAGCTGACTCAACTGAATCAACCAGACGCTTATTCTAAATAGACAAAAGCCTTTGTCTCACAGACACTAGATATTTATCTGCTGGAAAAGTTAACATTAGGTACTTGATAGAGCTACTTAATACCTCCTTGTTATTAAGCAACCCTCACATTCAATTTTCTTCCTGCTTTAGTGACATAATTGTTGGTATACTTTCCAGTGGATCACATCACCAGCAAAGGGGTATTATCTCCTTCCTCTGGGGGATGGGAGTGGAGAGGGGAGAGATGGTTGCTCTTATTGTCAAGGCAGAAATGGAGTTTCTCCTCCATTTTGTTTTTCCCCTATGCTCAAGTGCATAAAAACTAAGACCCAGTTACTATGACCATTCTTGGAGATCTATTCCATAGATCTTTTATTACATTTTGAAAATTGGTGATACAACCTAAGATCACTTTTATAAATACATGGAAAAAGGTGAAAATGGACATTTACAACATAAGCCAAACCCTCAGATTTATTTTGCTGAAATTACTCTGGAAATGGAACTTAAGAAAGAGATTCCTCTTTGGCTCCCCAACCCCCATTCTGTTGAATCAAGTTAATAGCCCTGTGTAGTAGATCTCTTTGTCTCTCTTTTATTGGTGAGGAACATGAAACTTAAGTTTTAAATAACTTATCCAAGGGCTCACTCTAAGTAAGTTGTGAAACTTATCAATATTTAGGCTATGTCTCTCTGAATCCAACACTGATGTCCTTCTATTTGGCCAAGCTGCCATCTGATTTGTTACATGTACTCATTGATAGTATTTATAGCTAAAGGAACAAAACTAAAAGTGGGATTGTAGTCAGTGGAACTATATAAATGTGTGTTTAGTCACCATTGATTTACAAGAAGTTACCAACATGTACTAAATTACATCATTGCAAGTAAATGTGTGTAGTGAGAATCAGACTCAGACTGACAAAGAAATCAACATTTCTAACCTCAAAGTATTTAACTACAACATATAAATGAAAGATATCTAAAGAAACATTTCCAGCAGATCAAGTAATTAATAGGAGAGTGATTTTTCACTAACATATGTATGAACTAAGAATATAGACATTTGGCTTTGGCTTTACTTTTCATTACATCCGTGGTCAAAAGATTTGGTGTAATAAAGTATTCAGTTATATCACTATTTAATTCATTCTATTTATGTGTTCACCTATTCATTCATTTCTTTTTCAGGAAGCATTGCCATCATTGTACCTCTAGTTCTCCTGGTGACTTTGATAACCACCTTAGTAATTGGTTTAGTGCTTTGTAAAAGAAAAAGAAGGTAAGATTCAATGGTTTAAACAAAAGGTCAGTAAATAAATTACACATAGAGTTACAGAAATGTAGTGTTTTTTCTTTTATTTTTTTTTATTCTTAAAAAGTGATTTAGTTATTCCAACTGAAAAGTCTTATTTTCGAACCCCTTTATCCTTCTATTTCATTTTAAAGTGAGTATAATTCAGAATGTTCTCCTCCCTTGTTATGTTGACAGAATGGCTCTATTTATATAATCTAATAAAACTAACAAGGGGACATATTAATTAAAATTTCAACAGAATTTTACATTTTTGGCAGTTTTTCCACGAAACAGGAGGAGTCTCTGAAGCACACCCTGTTATCTTAATGTGTAAGATTAGTAATGTCAATACAATGATCCTGAATATGTATTATGTATCACAACTTGTGCATTTCATTCACAAATTCTGCATTGGTTAATTTTATATATTCCTGAGAGTATAATTTTTCAATTTATGTGAACATATAGTTATAAACATCTAGAAGGTGTAGGTTATCTATGGAGTTATCACCCAGAACCAAGTGTTTGTGAGTCAGTTTTTTAAAAAGCATGACTTGGGGATTGAAAACAATCGATTTCAGGGGTGCCTGGGTGGCTCAGTTGGTTAAGCATCTGCCTTCAGATCAGGTCATGATCCTGGGGTCTTGGGATTGAGCCCCTGCTCAGTGGGGAGCCTGTTTCTCCCTTGCCCTCTACCCCTCTTCTCCCTCTACTCCTCCCCCTGCTTGTGCTCTCTCTCTCTCTCCATCAAATAAATAAATTAAAAAAAAAAAGAAAACAATCTATTTCAAAGATTCTTTATCACTAATTTTTTGTCATAGTTTTCAGAAATAAAGGGTAAAAGTGAATTTAAAAAATAATGAATTGGTGAATATTGTTTCAACTCCTGTATTAGCTATTTAAGAGGAATATGTTCCAAGTGCATTTTTTACTGTCAAATCTAAATAATTTAGAGAAATAACTTATCACATTGACTTTTTTTGTTCTTCTATGACTTGATAAATATTTGTTTTGAATAAGTTTTATAAACTTTCTGCGAGTTATATTAAAATAAGTCAGTAAATCTACGAATGTGATAGTTTTATGTATCATGATTGTAATATTGAGATAGTTTACACTTACATTAATGTTCACATATTCCAGGACAAAAACTATTAGAAGACAACCTATTATCAATGGAGGAATCAATGTAGAAATTGGGAATCCATCTTATAACATGTATGAGGTGGATCATGATCATAACGATGGAGGTCTTCTAGATCCTGGTTTTATAGTAGATGCAACAAAGGTAATATGTTTTAAGATGGCAGACAGTAAGCATTAACATTTCTCTGTCATTTATCTATAATGCAGTCCTGAATTTTATCAGCACTTCTTTTATCTGAAGTTACAGTAAAGAACTTTAGGATGTATTGAATGTTATAGTCTTTTTTAAAAGAAAAAATTAAGTTATGGCTTGCTTTCACCTGAAGCATGAAGTTAAAAAAACATGTTTTGGAAAATAGATATGTATTCATTCATTAAGCTGATAAACATGTATAAGGAACCTATATGTATAAGGAACCTCAAATGTGTTGAGATTCTAGCATATCTAAATACCTAGTATAAAAATACTGATTTATTTTTTAATAATGAAAAGAGTACAGGACTTCATTGTCAAAACAAGTATTTTATTTCCAGTAGTATTTCATTGATTCAACTAAGCTGTGCCCTTGGATTTGTTTGTAATCAAATTGCTTTTGAAAAATATTTTCTACTATAATAGCCTTCCTATCGATTTGAGTCGTATCATTGATAGACACAGCCTAAAAACCTAACTCTTTTGGTAAAGTTTCTATTCTTATCATTATATGCTCAGATTGGCAGCTTTTAAGAGGAATAGATAAATGATACAATTATCCAGACAAAGTAAACTCACAAAGATTCACTATACTTTATTATCTTTATATTTTCCATGAGAATGATAGACTATTTTACTGTGCATTAAGAACATCAATTTGCTATTATGGAATGGTTTTTCTTAGCTTATTCATTCATTTATTGAATAGCTAATTTATTTTCTGATCTATTAAACATCCTTTGTTCAAAATGCACCTTTACATTGTAAATAATCACAGCAACCAATCTATGTCCAAATGGGTTTGCACTCATAGCAATAGCTGTTCCCAAAGATGTTGAATAGGGTCCCATACATTCAGGTTAATTCTGAATCTATGGCCGGATTGTCTAAGCCTGAAATCAATGGTCAAATAGTTATTTCTCAGAAATAGAATCCATTATTAGTGCATGTATAAATTTTTTACACTATCAGAGGATATTATAGTGACTTTTTCCTAATTAGAAGTAAATTTATATTTATTTTTCATTATTAATTCATGAATTAACTCCTACATTTGAAATTGTTAATGAAATAAAACCTAGAAACCTAAGTTTCAGTGTTTTCTACTTTAAAAATGGTAGACTTTAGGTCTTAACCCACTGAGCCTGGGTGGCTCAGTGGGTTAAGCCTCTACCTTCGGCTCAGGTCATGATCCCAGGATCCTGGGATCGAGCCCTGCATCGGGCTCTCCGCTTGGCAGGGAGTCTGCTTCCCCATCTCTCTCTCTGCCTGCCTCTCTGCCTACTTGTGATCTCTGCCTGTCAAATAAATAAATAAAATCTTAAAAAAAAAATGGAAGACTTTATATATGGTGCACATTGTTATTTGATAATTTATCTATGAAGAAGATAAATAATAGACTTCTCATATTCTTTGAATTTTTCTTAGGAAGAAGTACACTGTCTGTAAGTATAATATGAACTGATGAGGACATACTTTATACACTTTTCCTAAGGAGAGTTCTCATTTTCCCCATCATTTTTATTCCTAGTGATAGAATTAAGCCAATTTTGGATACATAAAGAAAATGGTTTTTAGTACTCCATTTAAAAATTTTTCCACATTTACTCTAAGAAAATAAAACTATGCTTCAGTGCCCCTCAGATACACTATTAATTTACTTTGCACATAACATGCAATAAATATTTATTTACCAATTTGTTGACTGATTGACCAAAATTACATAAATGTGATTTAGATGGCTGAGTCTAGCTAGCTTCTGATTTTTGAAATGTAAATATAAATTGTTGCATAAGAAGCAACTGCAAAAGACACAACTAGTCCTAATAGGTATAAACACTTACAGAAAGCAGAGGACCACACCAAAGCAACCTTAATAATCTAATGGTTTTCATAGGGTATGCGCTGAGTCATGATGGTTTGATATAGTCATGATGTGATCAAATACAAACTGCATTACACATAAAGAGGATTTTATAGAGCATTTTCATTATTTTCAAAATGGATAAAATTTATACTTCAATCATACCTTCTAATCAAAATAACTGAGGAGTAAGTAAAGTTAATAAAAAAGATTTGACTATGGAGGCAATCGCAGAACAGTTTGAAGATTACAAAAAAGGAAATTAGTATTCACTGGTTTTATGTCCAAATTCATCTCAAATGTAACTTAGATTATTCTCAGTATTTTTTCAATGAAAACTTTGTGGGAGAAAATGAAGAGGCAATATTGACCAGATTTTATATTTAAAATCTTTTACTGAGACCCTTGCCCCTATCCCAAACTTTGTGATTACTCATTAAGAGTCGATAGTTAATGTTTTTTCAATTCACCTTTAATTTTCTTCAAATTTGTACATTAATTTTTTATGCTTTTCAAATTTTTGCCTAGTTTTCCCCCCATTTGGATCACTAATAAATACTTCATCCCAAATATAAGTGTGTACCAGATTGGCTAATTCTGCCCTTAGATCCAAGAAAACTTAAAGTCAGTGTTCTTGTACAGAGACTTAGTGAACTAGTTTAATTAATAATTCATCTGGAGAGTCAGATTTCCAAAATAAAGATTTTTTAAAAATGTAACATTTTTAATTCTTTTTAAATATAGAGTGGTGATGAATCTTTAATTAGAAGCAGTCATATATTTGAGTGTTCAAAATGGGCTACAGTCAGAACTTTTCAAAGGGACAAAACCTTAAGTGGGGGAGTGTTGTATATTTTTCACAGAGTGGTTAACAAAGATATGCTTTATTTGGGAAGGATGAAGTTAAATAAATAGAAATGTATGGAGGTATCTTGATGTATGGCGTGTCTATCAGTAAGCTGTATGTAACAGAAATGTCTACTTAAAAATCACAGATCCAATATTTATGTTTTTTTCTCAATCTACTAAAGCTATGATGAACACACCGTTTGTGTCCCAGGGCTAATGAGTATTTTTATGCTATTTTTATGACTTAATATGAGTTTATGTCAATGAAAATCATTCTATGATATTAGATTGGAAACTAAAATTCTCTGTTTACATACAGGCCAGGTATATAGGGGGAGGGTCCAGTGCTTTCAAGCTTCCACACACAGCGCCTCCCATCTACCTAAACTCTGATTTGAAAGGACCACTCACTGCTGGGGTGAGAGAAGAAAATTCATTATTCCATATCCATTCCATCACAGAACCCCTCGCAATGAAAGATAATGGCGAGACTTAGATAGGGGCTGTCTTTAATTGAGTTTTTAATTAACAAGAGATTTCAAAACAGCATTAAAATCAGAGGCTTATGTTAGATGTCCTGCTTATGCAAGATTTCATAGAAAACATGTTATCATTTTAGACAAGCTATTAAGTAGAAATATCTCTTCTGCTGATTTTGAAAATGTCACAGCACTTTAACAATAAAAAATGAGTATTTGTTATTCTTAGATATCTCTAGCTAGAAATTTAAATTGAATAATTTAAACTTAAATTCATGTTTGGCTTTATTCACTTCCTATTATGATGTTTTGTTTAGTATTTGCAAGTTTGATGTCAATTTAAATAAAAATATACTACAAAGTGTGGCATCATGTTGAGAAATTAGAAATGGCCTAATGAGACCACTTTAAAATTTTTTTTAATTAAATAACTAGTTTGTAGTGGAAGGTACTTGATTTTGAGTTACATGGCTTATGGTAGAAGGAAGAGGGATCAAAATAAGAGGTATAAAATTTCCTAAGGATGAGTATGTTCTCCCTTGTACCTCTCTCCCATCAGCTGTTTTTCATTCTCATTTTTTATCATGGTTGTTTCATTTGCATGTCTCAAAGATTATATGTTTCTTTGTTGTAACTAAGATTTAGTGTTCTGCATTTGGGAAGACAAAACTAAACAAAAAGTAGGCAATAATTTCTTGGGTTAAGTTGCAATTAATAAAACAATAAACACTGTATGTTTTTCAACTGAAAGAGATCACTTCTGCATGTCTCAATTCTACTTCAAAGTGCTCTGAGTTTCTATGAAAATTAAGATGACAATGAACTTCACAATTTCTTGGAAGTGTCCAAAAGTACTTACAGTAATAAATACATATGAGTTGTTTGAAGCAAAAATACTCTTTATTTTAAAATCTATTCCACCAATATGTTTTATTATTATTTTCTTTTTCTGTTTTTAACTTCCTATTGCAACAATTATAAGCTTAAGCAATTAGATGACCTTCTGTAAACACCTCCTTCCTGCCACTGCTGTAGTAGTAAGGGGGCAAACACATGGACTGAAAATAAGATGATTTGGTTTAATGTTTTCTGCTTTTAAATAAAGTCTCAGTGAATATTGTCTTCACAAAGATATCCTCGAGCTTTTACTATTATGTCAAAGTTCTACTTAGATTCATAACTTACCTGAAAAACGTACAATTATGTTTTTATCTAATACCACACAAAAGTCAACTAAAGCCTGTAAACAGAATTTAAATTACATATGTATAATTACTATTTAGAAAATTAAATGTATTGCATATAAGTGTTATTAATATTGAAAGACAGACATCCTAGAAAATAATTAAGGTGGTCAGAATTGAAGATAAAAATTGAATTTATTTTTTTTTCTCCTGCAGACAACAAATTACTCCAATCCAGTGTATGCAAAACTATATATGGATGGGCAAAATTGTCGGAACTCCTTAGGAAGTGTTGATGAAAGGAAAGAACTGCTTCCAAAGAAAATAGAAATTGGGATAAGGGAGACAGTGGCATAATCAGTGATACCTTTTATATGCTGTAAAAATGTATAAAATATAAGGATTACTTTTGTATGTTCCAACAGTATTATACTTGTTTTGGCATCAGCATTACCTCCTTCTTTATCTTTCTCCTGGCTAATTGTTTTCTGAGTTCTCTGGGTTTTACTTTTTGCTGATGACTATTGATTGACCATTTGTATGGTATTTTTATGAAAAAGAACTGCACTACAATACAATTTACAACAATGCTGCTGATATGATTCACCTTTGGATTTGTTAAAATTAAAACAACATATTCCTTTGTAGTGTGAATATGAGCAATCTATTTTATATGAACTTTTTTGTTTCTACTTATTCAACGAAGAGAATCTCTGCACTTTTTCATTATATGGTCTGAAAGCTGTAATACAATGTCATTTTACTTTTCCATTTAAACTGATGGAAGAATGATTGAATGGTCAACTCTCTTCTTTGTGCCCATTAAGGTTGATTCAGACTACTGAAAATATCTAGCCCTCACAAGTCCAGCATCACCTGCTTTGAAATTAGCCTTAGATTGCCAAGCGATAGATGAAAATTTTGAGGAAAAACTTTAAAAATATATACAATTAATAATTTGCATGAATACCTATGACTACGTTTGCCAAAATTTAATGGACTGTATGTGATATACTAAACATATACACCCTATAAACAACAGTTATATTTAGGTGGTAGAACATAGCAAAAATATAACCAGAAGTGGAAAGACCACACTTGCTATGGGATAAGACCTTTTGTTCTCCCTCGGTCCTGAGGTAAATAGCCAGCCTAGAGCACAACAGGGCAATGGGTACTCATGCCTTAGGAAGTTCTTCCTAGTCATGTGCATTTTGTGGAAGATTAACCCAATCCTTTACAACACAGAACACAGAACAATAATATATAAGCACACAAATTGATGACAGAACTTCTATTATGTGAATGCATTCTCTTTGCTAGGTCAAGAGAAAGAGGTAAAGCAGCCATTATAGTATAGAGTAGTTGGTAAATATTTTCAATATACAGTATGACTAATCCAATATTTGCCCTATTCAAAATATATTCTTAAGTGACTTAAGGTTATAGAAGAACAATTATTTGTCCATAATCAAAGGTGGAGAGTGTAAATGCTGACCAGTTACTCTGGTACTCTAGTTTCTTTTGGTTATGCAAAATACATGGACCCCATTCACTTTTTTGTTTGTTTGTTTTCAAATTTTGATTGAAATAAGTACGATTTATTTAAGTTGTATAAAAAAGGATAGCATTTTTATACGGATATCTTTAAAGGCACAAAAGATTTATTCACAAGGTATGGAGGGCTTTTTGTTCCTCTGATAGACATGACTGACTTTTAGCTGTCATAATGTATTAACCTAACAGATGAAATATGTTTGTGGTTGCTCTTTATCCCTTTGTACAAGCATTAAAAAACTGCTGTTTTATAAAGAGACTTTTTGTTGTACTATGTGCATGCATACTACCTATTTCTAAACTTTGCCATATTGAGGCCTTTATAAACTATTGATTTATGTAATACTAGTGCAATTTTGCTTGAACAATGTTATGCATATCATAAACTTTTTCAGGTTCTTGTTTAAGTACATTTTTTAAATTGAACAGTATTTTTCATTTTGGTTATAATAGTCATTTTGCCTATGTTTCTACAATGAAGTGTTAAAGACTTTATAAAAAATTGTTGACTGACTTATTTAAATGAAATTCTACATATTTAAGTGCTTGTGTTGGGTAGTTTTTAAAAGTAAGAAAATTCTTTTCTTTGTGGACTGTAATATCCATAGGAAACTATTTTAGTAAACATGAGACATAATTTTTGTTATATCCTTAGAGCATACTGTGTGGGTTGGGTTGATTTCATTACATCACTTTTAAAAGCACAATAGAGAAAGCACTTTCTCTCTTCTTGAAGCAGAAACATTTTCCTTGTTTTGTATTTTCCCCCAAGGTATATTGTTTATTACGGATTCTTATATTACAATAGAAAGAGAGGTAGGTTATACACACAGTAGTGTGACAATTGTGTTGAAATAAGCCAAAGCTCTTCCTGCCTTTCCCATTCTCAGAAAGTGTACTTTATGGAAAACTCAGATTCCATTAGATTCTGTGTAGGCATTATTTTGTAAGTGGAATGGTTATTGGTATATATCATCCTGGAGTATCATCCTGGAGAAGCAAATACAGGAAGGTCTGTTTTACTGGAGCTGTCTTTGAGTTATATTATCTAAAGTGGACTTTTTATATCAAAGCTTTATAAATGTAACTGAAATTATTATTTGAAAGAAACAGAACCTAGAGATTGAGATGATCTTGATACAATTACCAGTGTTATAAATATTAACATATCATATATGATATACAGACAACTAACACCCAGAGTCTGGCACAACAACCTGTTTTCTCACTACAGCATTGATGAAAACCATAGTTGAGAGAATTCAGGATATACTTTTTAACCCCGAGGTCCCATCTACATTATCATGATCCTTATGTCCACATTATGATTTACCATCCCATGCTGGTTCATTCAAGTCCACATCAGAGTTCATAGTCTTTCTTTTTGCAATTATTTTGCCTTCAATCTTTACAGGACAAAGATATTTTTTCAACTACTTAAATTTATTCTATTTATATAGCTCTAGCTCTTTCAATTCTCTGATGCAAAAACTCATATAAATGCAAGAAATTCAGATATATAATTTTCCTCTGTGGTTACCATTCTTTATAAATGCCATCACCAAATACTTCCTAAAACATTCCTTCAAGCTTTGATGGAACATATTTTCTAAAAATGAATGCTTCCTGGTGAATTCTCCTTCTTATCCAAAATGACTATTCATCCAAAGTATGGGGTTCCAACCTGTAGACATTTAGACCCAGTTAATTCTTTATTGTCCTCTGTAAGGAAGGATATTTAGCAGGATCTCTGCCTTCTAGCCACTAAATGTTACTGACACCACCCAAAGTTGCAACAACCAAAATGTCTACAGACTTTGCCAAATTTCTTCTGAGGAAAAAATTACACTTATTAAGAACAAATGGTCTAGGGCTGTGTTCTACCTTCCACTATTAAAAAGCTCTCGGATGAAATAGCTAAGTCAAAAAGAGGGAAAAAAAGAAGGAAGGAAGGAAGGAAGGAAGGAAGGAAGGAAGGAAGGAAGGAAGGAAGGGCACCTCAGCATGAGAATCATGGCGCTCCCTCCAAGTTTTTAAGTTTTTAATACTGATGATACATGAGTTATAGAAACTTGGTATTAGTAAAGTGACTATACAATAAAACAACAAAACAAAACAAAAAAGGGAAAACCAACTAAAGGAGAAAGTTTCATTTAGAAACTCTCTCAGTTTTGTGTAAATTTGGGCTATTTTAATTTACATACATGTGTTTTATTTGGCCATTTACTGCCATTTATGATGATGTTTTATTTTGTTTTGTATTTGATTATATGCTTATTTTGTTGGTTCTTGAGATTGAGATTTAAACTTGTACTTTTCTTGTACAAATGTTACTTTCCGTTTTTATGATGACTCAGATATGAAGAAGTTCAATACTCAATGTATGTCATATCTACTATAAATGAACTATAATATGCAAAATACCCACAATTTCCAAACCCTAACTGGGGAAATTGGTATATGTGATGAAAGGAATAGGGAAAAAAATACACTGCTTATTTTCCTTAAGCCTCTCACATGTCCATATCTTCAAACAGATAATCATGATGTGAAATCTGATTCCTCTCTAAGAACACTACTATTTATAGTCAAGCTTTTCATGTAGTATTACTTTAAAAATTAAAATATAAAAGATTAAGAATCCCACTGAATTGAGCAAAATATAACTCACCACTTTTTGAAAGCTGTTTTCTTTACCTAATGCTACATTCCAGTTTCCATCAATTTAATGAAAACTTTTTCAAAATTAGATGATATAATTTGATATAAATTAGGATCATTATTTAAATAGAATTCCTTGAATTATAACTTGTAAGAAAAGGAGAGATTCAAGCAGTTCTTTGTGAAGATGACTACCAGATAATATAGCACACCAAAAAATGATTTTTCCATATATTTTGAATGTGAGAAAGGCAACAAAAAGAGTGAGAAAATGGTATTTTTTGGTTCTGCTACCAATTCCATTGCTAATATACCCAGAAAGTTAACACATCAAGAAAAAGATATAGGTAATTAACAATATACAGAGTTTTATTTAGAACAACATTTAGTTTTTGATGATGTAATATCCACAGGTCCAGGAACATGTACTTCATAATGTGTTATTCATGTATCCAGTTTAAAAAAAAAAATGAAGTGAAATGAGTTCTTTGGTTTAACTTTTCTGTAGTAGTTATACCTAAATGACTATAACTTAGTCTGAAAAATAGTTTCTAGTGAATGCTATCATTTTTTTTGTATCCAAAGTGATCAAAAATCAGAAGAAAAATTGGTACTAAAGATGGCCTATTTGATAAATTCTATGTTTAGAATGTGTTTATTCTCTCTGATGGATAGTCTGCCCCTTTAACTGGGGTTTGTAAGATAACAGTGAACTGAAGCAATGCAGTACTGAAGCTTTACTCATTTGTTCACTCCAAGATAATTTTGTAGCTGTAGTTTCTTCTGCAGTTTTAATACATAAAATATGAAGTCCTGATGCAATTGATTTCTAGCTATTTATGCCATAGTAACTTGGGAAACCAATAATAAAACTCATAAACTTTCAAAAGATAAGGTCCATAACAAAAATCATACACATCTTATTCAGGTCAGTAATTTAACTATAAATGAGAAAATATTTATTCACATACAGCATAAACTGTGAAATATGATTGAGAAAAAAAATCAGGAGTTTGAAATATGAGGCTGTTTATGGAGATACTTAAAAAACAATACACAGGGCGCCTGGGTGGTTCAGTGGGTTAAAGCCTCTGCCTTTGGCTCAGGTCATGATCCCAGGGTCCTGGGATCAAGCCCCACATCGGGCTCTCTGCTCAGCAGGGAGCCTGCTTCCCTTCCTCTCTCTCTGCCTGCTGCTCTGCCTACTTGTGATCTCTCTCTGTCAAATAAATAAATAAAATCTTTTAAAAAAAATACACAGAGTTTAAGTTTAGAGTGAGCTGTATTTGTCAGTAGATAATGTCAAAAGTTAGGTAGGAAGTAACTGGTCAATGAGATTGCAAACAGGAGTAACCTCTGTCCTTGCAGTCAGCTAGCATCAATGGTAATTTTGTGGAAATCCATATAAGTACACAACAACAACAATAACACACACCCCATATATTTTCACACACTGACTCTGATGACCCATTAATTGTGAAGATGGCATTTCTCTCCTATTTTATGTAAAATTCAGTCATGTTTAGCTTCTCTGGCTTATAATTTCAGAAAGTCACTACTCTTCTCCAGAGTGGTAACTTCTCCATTTGCTTCTCTGTTTTTCCTATCCAAAGTGACAGTACAGAAGGCCAGTATTCCTCATCGACTATTTTGTTATAACCTGTATCCCGTATTGCTTATTCTATTGAAAAAAAAAAAAAGTCATTTTAGAAAATTAGAAAATAAATATAAAGAAAAAAGAAAAACTACCACTAAGTTAAAACACTAGAAATAACCAGTTACCATTTTAAAGAATTTTCATTTGTTGTAGGCTCATGCAAAAATTTAAATTTTCTATCCTGCTTCTAAAATATAACATTGGAATATTTGTTTTTATGTCTTTCCTGGGCTTTTATTTGGTTACTTATTTTTATTCAGCTTCTGTTTATCCTATACAGACTTCATATTGCATGGCTTTATTTTTGTCTTTCGATTTGAAAGTTATTTATTTATTATTTGTTTTACTGTTAAATAATTTTAACTTTTAAAAATGTACTAATAATTACATCCAAAATTTTAAAATGTCTCTCTCTTTTCCCCTCTAACATGAGAAGTTTAATATCCTTAGACTCCCCTAATCTAACTTACCCTCATAGTTTTGGTGCAGTTTGTGGTTTTATTTTGACAAATATTAAATGAAGTAGTATTTTTATATTTTTGTCTTCTTTTTATTAATTGGAATATTTTCAAATTTAAGTGTTTCTCTTTTTAATCTTCATTCCTTTTACTACACGATTTTTTCATTCTTTATTTTTATTTAAGTCTAATTTTATTGGTATATTTCATCAAGTATACTTATAAAAAGCCTTTATCTGTGGTATATTGCTGAGCTGTTGTATTTATACAAACATTTCTCTAAGGTCTTCAAAAAGAAATGTCAACTCAACTCAACGTATGGAGATTTTCCATTTCTTGCAAAATTAAGTTGCACCTGCCTCACACTGCCTGCTGGTATTCAATGTTGTTAAGGATAAGTCTGAGACCAAACAGATTTTTCTTTTTTTGTAACATTTCTCCCCAGACTTAAAAACACAAAACAAATTATAATAAAAATATTTTGCCACATATGCACTTATGTTTTTTATTAATTTTGTCTACTTAAAACGTTTATAGATGAGATTCATTTTCTTCAAGGTATTTTTATTACTTTTGTCCAAATTGATTTAATACACAGAAGTTCTTAGGTTAAGTCTTTTTTTCTCACACCTGTATCATTTTAATAATTTTTTTTCTTTCATTTTAGAAGAGATTTTCAAGTTTCTGCCCTGCATTTTTAGTTGATCTTTTTCCCTGCAGATTCAATTGATTTTTCATGTATGCGTGTACCTCGGGAATGAGTCTG